CACACACACACACACACACACACACACACACACACACACACACACACTGTTCAGTCAGACTCACATAAATTTCCTCCACCCCCATATGCGTCTTCAGAGAAATATAGTTTAGTCTGCTAAACCAGAAGTTTGTGGCCTGTTAAAAAAAAGTCTCCCACACAGGGAGGAAAAAAGACAGGCAGACAGATCAGAGCAGCACAGGCATGTTTCCGGTGAAATTGGTGTTTTTATTTTTCTTTCTGGGCGAAGTTTTAATGGAAATGGCCTGAAAGAGAAGAAGAACAGCTAGTTTGAGGGCTAAAACATCTTTAGAAGAAACAAAAGCTGCTTTTCTAACATTAAATATACAATTAATTCAACTTGACTTACATCACAGCAATACGTTAGAGCTTGTACAGTGTGGTTCTGAGGAAAAAATATGAACACTCAGCATCTTACCTGTTTTAGATAGCTTTTTGAATAGCTATAGCTGTTATATTAACAATAGCTTTTTCCTTTCCATAGATAAATAATGTTACTAAGTGACTTTTATGAATGTGAATGTTTCTGTTCAGTGCCCTGAGACCACTTCTGTTGTGATTTGGTGCTGTATAAATAAACTAAATTGAATTTAATTATTTTGGAAAAACGGGAGTTTAATTTTGGCAGAATTGACGAGGTCACTGTCGGTCTGAGTGGGGATGAGGTCAAAGGAAAAGGATCACTGCTGCCCTGAGACATGCTGTTCATGTAAATATATGTATCTTAAACCTTTACATTACATTCAGTTTCACATTACATGATGAATTCCCGTGTGGCCTGGGGCAGTTCTGCCAAAATCTTCACAACATTTCTGTTGTTGTTAGCTTGTACACAAATGAGTCATTGACAGGTGTATGAAGGATTAAAAAAATAGGCTTCGCTAGAACCACTGGGGGCGTAACAAGATCTCGTTACAAAACAAATCTTACAAAACGTTACAAAACATTCTTGCAAGAATAAAACGTCACATGGTGTTCTGCTGAGTTGATCATTGTTTTGTGGATCTTAACTTAAAACTTATTGATTTAAATGTTGTAGAAAATGTGCACACAGCTTTAAAGTATTTATGTAGTGACAATTTAAACAGAAATGTCATGCAGAAGAACCACGCTGTTACGTCCAGGTTCCCCTGCTCCTCTGCAGCTTCTGCAGAGAGGACATGTCTCTGTTGTGCATTTATTTCAAACAGGCTCAATGCTGAGCTCATGCTGTATTCATTGTGGACCAGTGTGAGAAATCCTTCTCTGTGATGAAAATAAGAATAAAATAACACACAAAGGAGTTTCGCTCTGATGTCCTCTTCATTCTTGAGAGTTTCCACGACTTTCAGACAAATCCCTCCGTAGTTTTCACAGCTGCAGTCTACCTGAATCTGCATGATCCTTTTATGTGTCATTCTCTAACTTTAAGGTGAAATGAACGCAGCTGTTTTAATTTCCATTTAGGCTGCGTTTAGCTGTTTTAAAAATGTGCAAAATGCTTTTATTAGAAACCAGTAAAAGCAATCAAAAGAAAAAATAAGACAAGAAAAATAGCTATTTAGTGAGTAAAAACACTGTAAACTTCGTTATATTTCTTATTTCAGCAACTTTTTTTTACATAAAATCTGAAAAACTGGACAAATTTATTAGTTTTTCAAGAAAAAAATAAAATAAAGGAAGGTTTGTCTTTGATAAGTGTTTTTTAAATTTTGACCCTAAATGAGTTTGACCACTTCTAAAGTCTGAAAAGACTTGGGAGAAATTAGAGAGCAAAGATGATCAGTTAGTCTTGAAGCAAAAGCTTAAAAATATTGTTAAAATGTCTCATTCTTGGGAGTCTAGTATCTCTTGTGACATAAGAGTCTTAAGAAACACAATAACAAGTTTAAGGTTGCAGTTCTTAACAAACTTTAGTCCTCAACCAGACTAGTCATGAAAATAAAACCCCATTTTCCAACCTGAGACTGGTCAAAGAGCTATGTGCAGCAGGTAAGACACTATTTAACCTATCCACAGAAATCTCCCATTAAAAAAAAAAAAAAAAAAAAAAAAAAAAAACTCTTTTCCCTTAATAGTAAGTTGCATAACTTTATTTCCGGCACATTTTGACCACCTTCATAGTGAAAGTTGGTTTTGAACATATGACTCAGTCAGAAGAACTAGGCCCGTAGTGCAGACAGCCTAAATAAAAACATCTATATTTTCTCCGTTACGCTCCTAACTGCTTCCTGGATGTCCTTATATGGTCAGGCCCGAAATACGAGTACAGAATTCCTTATTACTCCCCACGCTGGATTTCTAGCGAGCAAACAAAACCTGCAATTAGGCTGGATGTTCAGCAGTCTGGGAGTTGGCCACCAAAACCACGGGGCCGGAGCGGGGAGGGGAGGATTGAAGCTTGTTGTGGCTCTCAGACAGCACAAATATTTATTCTCTCTGATGTAACTCCAGTCTTCGTGCTGTCGCCACACACCTCATCCGCTTGTCATCTTAATGCAACTAAATACTTGTTAGATTGATGGTGAAAACATGCAAACGCTCTGTTCTTATGCTGGAAGGATTTCCCTCTGCAGCCTCACACGTCCCCACAGACTCATGGACAGTTTTAAAGAGTTATAAATGAAATCATCTGAACATATTGATGCGCATAAAAGAACTCAAACAAGAAAGTCTCACTTTAATTAATAAACAGATTGCAAAAATGATATTTCCAGAGTTTTATCACCTTCTCTTTACCATACCATGCCATGCCATACCATGCCATGCCATGCCATACCATACATACCATACCATACCATGCCATGCCATACCATACCATGCCATGCCATGCCATACCATACATACCATGCCATGCCATTCCATGCCATTCCATACCATACCATACCATACCATACCATACCATACCATACCATACC